GAAACACTTTAATATAAGTTTAACATAACAGCAAATGTACAAATTATGACAAAACCTTGTCGAAACATTGTACATTTGCTGTTATGTTAAACTTATATTAAAGTGTTTCTTCATTACCCATTCAAGCCGTCTCCAGCCATTATTTTAAATGTTTGTTATTAACTGTTTTTATTTTCATATGAATCACATTACCAGAAATAAAGATATAAGCTTTAAAAAAGTTGGATTATAATCTGACTGAGCTAATTACTTGCAGAATGTATTGTTATTTTAACTTTTTAACTGTAAATAAATTTAAATACTCTGTTATTATAGTTTGTCTCTTCTTTCATGTAAAAATCCTGAAAATTTGGTTACAGTGTTACACAGCTTACTTTTAAAAAGTTAAGTATTATCATATACTGTTGTAAAAATTAAATATTACAGCAACTAGTGTGGAGAAGTTAAACATTGTTACTTGTTAATATGATTTATGAATTTTGAATTCTATTCTTATTCATTCCTTAATGTTTTCAAGCTTTGTCAGATAAAGTTACAGCTATCAAAAATATTATTGTATTAAATAATTTGATGTTATTAAAAATTTTCTGTTGTTCGAATTGAAATTTAGGTTACATGAAGAAGGTTTTTACTTTGGTTAAACACTTGTTTGTCTAATAAGTAAAACATGTTTTTATTATTAATTTCCCTTGATTGATAACAAAGTGTTTGAGTAACTGTGTAGTTATAGATGTAACACAAGAGGCCAAACACTCGTAAACAAGGGGTGCTAGATTCCATTTAATGTATTAAAATGTATTTATTTTCTAACAACTAAAATCTTAACTATATTTCAAAAGTGAGTGAGGCAGACTTTTATGAAACTTTTCACTGCTTTATCTGCAGAAGAAAGGAAATATTTAACTGACAGTTTGCTTGTTTAGTGTTTCTATATGTTACATTCATTGACAATAGTTGAGGTGCTGCACACTGTCAAATGAATATCAGGCTTATGTCCATATTTTTGAAAGGATGATGTAATTATTGTTTTTTGATATAGGTAGTGATTCAACTTCATTTTCCTTAATGAAAATGATTGAGATTTCAATATTATGTTAGGGTACCATATAAAGAAAAACATAATATTAATGTTATTTTAAACAAGATTGGTAAATGTGATATGAAATATATGGCTATGCTAGTATTGGTGTTTATGACACATTAAATGTTTCATTTAGTCAGGAATTCAGTAGGTTTTTACTGATTGTTAAATGCCTATCAAGCTTCAAATAAAAAATGAATACTGGATAAGTTAACACCAGTTTTTGCATTTTGACTGTAAACTGATTTATAATAGCTTTAATGTGATAGTTTTACATATGATGGCTGGAAAGCATATTGTAGCATTCTGACAGATTGAAAAAGAAGGAATGAATAAATATATAAACAAATGCATTCATGTTATGTTGAAAAAATCGTTTTTTTTATATAAAATTACATGTAAGGTTTTTAATAATTGTTAGTTTACTGTGATGCTAAAGCTTCTGTTTTGGGAGGGGGTTGTAAAAGTTTTTACATTGGTGAGTAAGTTAGGAGGGTGGTTATAAGTTTTTACACTATTGAGTAAGTTATGTTGAGGATGTGATAAAACTACACTAGTAAGTTATGAGGAAGGGGTAAAGCTTTTTACACTAGTGAGTAAGCTATGAGGATGAATTTTGAGCAGTGCTTGTGGGTCTTTACTCCCCTTTAAACCATAATGTGTACAAACATATTGCATGCTCATAGTTAGTCATCATTTATAATGTCTTGATCTCCTGCATTTTGGAAAGTATATTATATTATCATTTTTGATCTAATCTCACTATTTAAATGTAGCATTACTAATATTTAATATAATTAAAGTGATACTCTAAAAAAAATTGTTTAATAAGCTCAAAATAGTAAGCAACTAGAAACTTCTGTGTTTTTAGTCCAAAATCAAGTTACAATATTTTCTTCAGACATTGAAGTACTTCCAGCACATCTCTAAATAAAGTAGTCCTTTTTTTTGTCCTTTCTTACTCAACTTTATTAGAAGACTAAGCTAAAACTTAAAACCAAAATATTTAAATATTTTGGAGATACAATTTTGTGTGTGTTTAAAGTGTATGAACATGTTTCTTCAAATTTATTATTTTTTGATATTAATCTTTTTTTAATTTCAGATTTTATTTTTCTGCTTCAATTTTTTGAAACATATTCAGTCTGAAGCCTTCTCTGCTCATAGTATGTAAGTATACTCTTCTGCTTTTAGATGTTATGTTTGAGTTTAAACTTTATCCTGCCTTTTTTAGTCTATCTGACATTGCTTGTAACTTAGGTTAACTGTGTAAAGCTTGAAAGTTTATTTTCAGCTTCTACTTAGTTAACTTGTAGATGCTGTTATGTTACATGTGACTTTTGTTATCACTCATAATTCTAAAATATGTTAGTTATCTTGGTGAGCTGTTAAATGATTTATATAACTATAATGAGCAAAGCATTATACTTATATTAAACTTTCACTACACATTGTTAACATAAAGGAACACTCTTCTGGTGTATTGAGTTATGACCTGATTTATTTATTCATAAGAAACACTTTGTTTCAAGTCTGTTGAGTTATGATCTGTATGTATCTGATTATAAGGAAGGCTGTTTGGATCTGTTGCATCATGACTTGTTCTATCTTAATGTAAAGAACATTTTATTTTAGTCTGTTGAGTTATGACCTGTTTGTACCTGATTGTAAAGAACACTTTATTTTATTTGGATCTATCTGTTTGCATCTGATTGTAAGAAACATTTTATTTGGGTCTGTTGAGTTGTGACTTGCAGGTTTCTAAGAAACTATTTGGATGTAATGAGTCATGGCCTGTTACATTTAGCTTGAAGGAAATTTTTTATATCTCGTATTTAATTTTCACCTGTTATAGTTGTAAGTAACGTGTTTCTGATGTGGATCAAATTGTTAATTGTAAGAAACTCTTTCTTCTGTCTGTTAAGTTTCAACTGTTGTATTGTAATAGCACATTTATATTGTTTGTTTATGTGTAATCATTACTTTGGTTGTTAATTACAAACAATATTTCAAACATTTAAAAGTATATTTGAATGGATAGTAGCAAGTTTTTGAATAATTTTTCTGCTGCTGTCTGTTACCCATTTTGTTACTTATGTTTTCCTGAAATATATGAAATCCATTTTGCCATGAAAGTAACCAACTAACCAAAAATACTGTTTACAATTATTACTATTTTCAATTTTTCCAACTATCCAAGACTCTTGAGAATAATCGGTTAGTTGAATGTAATTGATAAATGAGCCTGACAATTAGTTGATTAGCATATCCCACTAATTGCCCAGCTCTGAGTTCAAGTATGCTCAATAGTATTGTTAAAATTTTATCATTAACAATAATTCTATTAAGACAGTGTTTGATGTTTCCTTGTTTTATGTTCCTTTTTGTCACGTGATGTTTTGTTAATTTTAAGCTTCTGCAGTCTTTCTTTATAATTCTTTGACTAAAAGATTTATTTTGAAAATATGAACTATTATATTACTTATTAACTTTTCTTCCACTTAACTGTATCTTTTCCCTGTTTAGAATTTTTCATCTTGTTTTAAAAGGTACTTCATGCTGTTCACCCTTTGGAATTTTTGCATTCTCTAAGCATGTCATCATGAAGTCTGATTTTTATGTTGTAGTTCATGTTAGCAATTAATGTAGGACATTTGTTCATGATGCGCAGCTGTTGACCTCACTTATTGTTGATGTCACCATTCCTATTTTTTAGCATGTAGTTACTTGTTCAAATCCAATGGCAGGTGTAGGCAGTGGTTTGAAACAGACACTATTTTCTCTTTCTGTTGGTTCTTTCTTTCACAGAAATAAACATGTTTTGATGTTGTTTTTTTCTCTATGAATCTGCTCACATTCTGTTATCCACAGTTATCCTTCAGATTCTTGATTCAGTCTGACAGGTTATGGTATAACATAAATATTTCACAAAGATTTTCAGAGACTGGTTTCCAGATCTTTAGTTCACTACTTTTCACAAATTTGGGCATTTCAGTATATGAGATTTGTAAAAACAGAATTAATGTTGGCAACAACGTTAGATGGTCATTTGAGTGTTCAAATTTGAAATAAATACTGTTATATTTACTATAAATTTCAAGTTTGAGTAACATAGTACTTGTTGAATGGTGCTCTCTCTTTCGACAATGGAAACATTATAATTATGAAAGTCCATCCTACTATTCGTTTAAGAGTAGTCATGTAAGCAGTTAATCCTGGTGACTGGTTGATCTTCTTCTGGTTAGTTCTAAATTAGGGTATAGCTGTGCTTGAACTTTGAGGGGTATCTGATCTCACCATTTATCCTATTTGTCATGTAAGTTCTGTTTTAGCTGGAAATGCCAAATGCAGTGTGAACTTTTAAAGCAACTTATGTCTTGTATTTTTATCTTGTTAGCTAGATAATTTTCTGGACTTTGATTCATATGTTTTTTTACTCAAACACCTGCTGTTATAAATTGAGATAGTCTGATTGTTCTCTGTAGTATAAAAAATAAATTCAACTGAAGATCATATCAGTTTAGTATGTGTTGTAATTTTGTTATATTTATTTTTCTTGTTTTCTGGTTATGAAGATAAACCTTATGTTGGTTAAGTGTTAAAACATCTTCTGTTGAACTGGGAGTGCACGGAAAACAGCATACTCTGCTTGTAGTGAATGAGTTTAAATATGACTTGTATTCTGTTTTATTTTTATGGGATTTTAATGCTTCCATGATTTTCACTATTTTTGGAGTGTTCACTATTTTCAAATGTTTTAATGTAAAAATATATGTATAAATGCTCAGTAGATATTGGCAGACTAATTGGAGATGGCACTGTGTTACTAGTACTTTTGTCCTTAATTGTCTGACTTCCTTGTTTGGTGGTTGGACAGATAATGAAGGGCCTCCTATTTTGCCTCTCTTTTGGCTCATATTTTCTGTACAACTACTTTTTCGACCACATGTGTTACTCACTTATGTTTTCAGTCTCATATCAACTTGCTGGAATGGTTGTGTGTTTATCAAGCATATTCTTCTCTTCTGTTTTATCTCTTTGGTGCATAATTTTTTTTAAGAGTTTATTTGAATATGATTCTACATTTCTTTATATACATAAGAGTATGCTATTACTTTTCTTCTAACATGCCATGTATGAAAGTTTCTTTGTAACAGTCCTTTTGTTCTCATCTGGCTTTCATTGTTATTTTTAGACACACATGTGCCATATTCCTCTCTCTAGGTTTCATAATATTGGATTACTTTTCTGCTTCATCTGTATATTTTAGTTTCCTTTCTCTATCTGGATTCTCCTGTTATTCCAGAAATGTCTAGGCTTTACTGTGTGCTTCTTCATTAAATCTCTGACTAGGACTACTATATTTTTTCAAAATCCTGATTTTGCTTCCTTTGAACTTTAAATTTGCCTCATTTTTTATTATAGTATTTTTTTCTTAGGATACATTTTCTTTTGATACTTTTATCATGCTGATGTTTTTAAGCCATTGTTGCATATTCTACTCAGCTTTTTTTTTTTTTCGGATTGATTGCTCATTTTTCAAATCTCTCCTTGGTTTTTAAGAACTGGGTAATTAGGGAGGACTACTGGGTGTCTACCCCCATTATCTTCCTTCTCTTTTTTTAACTCCTGTTCATGTACTATGATACAACATAATGTGTGCTGAATTCCTACATTATCATTCTGAACTGGCAAGATGACTGTAACATCCTTCACCTATTGAATTAAGATCTTCCTCAAATCTTGATGAAGATTTGAGATGTAAAGATTCGATCATCTCTAATGAGATGTGACATCTGACTGTATCCCTTTATGCTGCTGTTTTGTATCAGTTGTAAGATATAGTCAGGAAAGCATGGGAACCTCTACCTCTAGTTAATTTGCTTCCACCATGTTACTCTATCCTGACTCTATTTTGACTGCTCTCCGTTGTTTTCCTGGAGGGTTTGAATTTAGAATTAGTGACCTTTTATTTTGCATGCTGTGTCTTACTGTTATTATCGTATTCCCAGTCTGGTGGTTTCTAGTAAAGAAGTTGCAGTTGCCACCAGGCTATGGATATGTTTTTAAGTTTGAATAAGATTATCATCTTTAAATCAGTGTATTGAAAATTGAATATGCTTTTTTCACTTGATAATGGACCACATTTCTCCATTGTCTCGCCACCATCAAGCAAAGTCAAATCAACAACTTCTGATGAAACCTGGAAAAGCAAGCAATCAAGCTCATGCTGAGTTCAGGCAGATAAGCATTAGCCAGCCAGGGCAGAGGGCATGATGATTGTAAGGAATAGAGCCTGTGTTCTCTGTAGGTGATCAGATTCCAAAAGTTCATGTCATGAAATAGAATGAACTATGCAGCAAGGTCAAACTCATAAGCTCTTCATTCTGGCACTTCCAGAAGCTTATTGGTGGCTCAGAAGCCAGAAACACTGTGATATCATTCATTTATGATGATGATGATGATGGTACCATATTCTGCAGGTGAAGACCAAGGCAAGGCCTTTATGCTTAGGTGAGTTAACCCATATGTGAAATTGATGTCATGAAAGAGAGGCTTAAGTTAGATCAATCTCTATGTGAGCTACCTCTACATGCTGTTATGGAAGCCATCTTTAGCTTGGGTGAAATATGCAGAACCATAACTACATCTAAAATTGAAGCTTCATGTCCAGATGTGTATTAATCTCTGCCTTTATGAACTTCACAGAAGCCAACCTGTTTAAGTTAGTTTTGGATTATCAACATAACTGGGCAACAGATAACAAACTGATGATTTACCAAATCTTTATCCAAACCCATGAAGGATCACTCTTGTTTTAAAAGCCATCAAATCATCATCCTACAAAATATCAATGGTAAGATCAAAGAAAAAGCTGTAGCTAGAAGGCTTAATTATCAGATTGAACCACTACTTTCATCATCATTAGGTGGATATTGCATTGGCAGAGAAACCTAGATTGGTGCTTCTAAATTTACAGCTGATATATGAGAAGGCTTTGAATTTGGTCATAACACCTGGAAATGGTAATGCTAGATTCCAAAATATTTGGTGGCCACCAAGAGACCAAAACTGTATCCATAATTTTGTTATTTTGTATGTTTTGTCTTTAGATATGCTAGTTTAAATAAATATTGAAGATAGGTTTATGTCATTTTGAAGCTGTTTGCAGAAGAAAAAGAAATTTGTCTACAGCCTGTTTTATCTATAGTTAATTACCATGTTGGTTTTATCACCACCTTTGTATCTTTTCTAAATAAGCTTGTAATTCTTAATGATGAACTCAGTTTCTCAAAATGTAAATGATTCATAAGTATGTATTTGAATGTTTTTTAATGTCAAAAACATTAAATCAAACAAAATTTAATAAGCTCAAGTATTGTATATTTGTAGTCAAGATTTGTCATTATAACCTATATGTTAATTTCTAAATAGAAAGAATCATCGAGTCACAAGAAATTTTTCAGATTGTCAGTTGGATGGAGTTTTATTAGGCAAGTTTTTTCTGATATTTTTTCCCAATGTATATATCAGAAGTGTTAAAGTATTACAGTTGTAGGGTATTTGTAGTTGTTGTTTTATCCAGTGTAGTACTGAATACTAATTTCAAATGTTTTTTGTTTAGGATCTTATCCAATACAGTAAAATATGAAGTATTACATTAAACATAAATATGCATGCATACATAAATAAAAGTGCAAGCAGTTTCCTTATTTCTATCTGCATCACCAACAGAAGTTCACAGATTTTAGATTACTTTATTGTAACCCGTAATACAAATTATGAGAATGTCTAGCAATATTGTAAACATATAAATACTTGATGTAATTTTGAACTTCTCAAAAAGCTGCATAGATTAAAAGTACAAGGATTTATGATGTTTGCCACCAAAACCTGTGTTTAATACTTGTGGTAGAATTACACTAAGCTGCAAGAGTTTTTGTATGTACCTAATCTTCACAATAAAATTACATTAGGCTGTAAGTGTTTTTGTTTCCAACTACTTTTAATTTACCTGTTATGGATTGTGAAACAGAGATGCTTAAACATCATGTTTTAGATGCATCGTTTTGTCAACCACATGTTACATTTCAGGAGATCTTTAGTATCAGAACTCAATACCTGGACTGGACTGTGATAACTTAGAGTGAGAAGAAAAAAATTGCAGTCTATCTTGATTTATTTACTAATATTAGGCTGACTGGTTTACTCAATTACAAGAATTGTAAGAATTTAATTTTCATTTCAAACTGTTTGTCTGCATTTATGGAATTGTTTCAGAAACAAGGTACAATGAAAATTTCATATTTTCAACTATTAGAATACAGATCCCCAACCTACTACAGATCACCCGACCAGTTTATCATTTTGACCTTTTATATCATTGATAGCCAATCTTTGACATACCATTCCTCTAGTATATCAAGGTAATTGGGAAATAGCAAGATATAAGTTTATTGGCCCATCAGCTATTATGGTCCTTGATTACTACCGCTAATGAAGTGAGTTAAAATAATTACAATGTTGATTTAGTGGAACATTATGTTAACAAATAGGAATTTAATATATATCCTAAATAAAAATATCCTAAATATCCTAAATATATATCCTGCATTTTTTAAATATTCAGTTGTTTTGTTTTTTGTATGTTTTAAATTGATATACTTTTGGTTGAGCTTTATTTTACAGCTAGTAGCATACCCTGTAACAATTAAATTAAAACTTAACACTAGGCCTTAACTAAAAAAGTCCTGGACAATATACAGTGAGCATAATCTGTTTATTCAGAAGAAGACCATCTTCGTATAGGAGGACGAGGAAGTAACACCAGCCTTAGCAGCAGTTGTAGTTCCATTAGCAGTCGAACCCATGATAGTAATCCGCCAACATACTTTACAACACTGAGCCAAGAGCCCACAGAAGACTCAAACATTCAGCCAAATGTGTAAGTGGAAATACAGTTGTGAATGTTGTTGGTGTCCTATTGAAACTTATGAGGCATAATAATATCATTCACTTGGGATAAAGTTAATGCTTTATTTTTGTATTGTGGAGTTTTCTTGTACTTTCGTAAAGTGATGCTGATGGTTTAATGGACTGAAAGTTACAAGTTGTTCAGTATTTTAGACTGATATTTAAAATTAATTATGAATTTAATGTTTTCAACTGATTAAATAGTATGGTTTTAACCTGTTGTAGACTAGTTATTAAAGACTGCAATATTGTAAGATTTAAAAAAACAGTGATTAAAATTGTAAAATTACACAGTATAATTGCTTGTACATTTTTCAACAGAACTTTATACAGTTAAAACCAAGCTAACAAGGTTTATAAAGAAGAAGGATGTTTTAACATGAGAATGTTCAAACATTGGAACAAAGTTGTGTTCAGGTTGTTATGGCAATAAGTCTTCATTACAACAACTTTATCCAGAATTTGTTAATGTTAACAGGACCACTGTTACAGTTTAGAGCCAGCCTATATAATACCTGTAGGTTCTTGACAGTTATAATCTTTTTGGGTTAGTATAAGATATAAATTTCATTCCGTTTAGTATTGTATGACCTGATTCAAACTGGTGAATTGTTGAAGCAGGATTTTCACATTCTCTTCTGTACATGTGATCCTAATTTGTAACTTTCAAGGTCTTTGTCCAATGGATTTCTTTCTACATTCACATGACATACAACTTAGATAGTCCTTGTTTTTGTTCATCGCTTTCTTGCTGTAAGCTCGGTTTTTAAGTTGTATGTGATGAAGAAAGTCTAAGGTTCTGTTGAAAAAATATTTTCAAGTAGTACAAAAAATGTACAATAAAAATTAATATTGTGCAATTTTGCAATATGAAGTGCACAATGTGCTTCCCTATGCAAGCAGGAACAGAGTTAATCCTGATTTATACTGATTATTAAAGATAATCCTAACTTTTTTTAGACTGATTTTCTAGTATGACATTATCACTGCTCAGACACTTCAACATATCTGGATAACTTGAGTGCTAAATAGGGTGTGTAACTTAATAAAAACACTAGCGTTTGTGCATTCTAATGGAGTAATTTGTTGCACATTTTTCCAAAGGTACTCACTATTTTACTATCATTTCCAGTCCTGAAAGAACTATGCCATTGTATGAACATCTTCTGGCTTACAAGACTATTGTGCTTCAGTATAAAAGAAATAAAAGGCAGGATATACTTAATTATACTTGTCATAAGACATTAGTATTAGGCTTATTATATTTTTAACACTACATTCTTTATTTATACCATTAGGGATTTTCAAGATTAGAAGAATGTGTATAATAATAGTATTTCAATCACACTGTGTTTGCCATATCCATTACCAACAATGTGTTTTGTTAAATCCAGAGCTCATCAGGCCAGCTGGGACACAACAAACACAGTAGTTGTCAGAACAGTATTTGTATAAGCCATTTGTTACAACAACAATTGTTATGATGTGAGTGCCTTTTACAACCTGGGAAAGCATAATTATAATTAATAGCACTTGCCATAAGACATTAGTGTTAGGCCTGTTATATTTTTAACACTACATTCTTTATTTAGTCTCATAGGGATTTTCAAGAATTAGAAGAGAGTATAATAAATAATATTTCAACCACACTGTGTTCAACATATCCATTGCTGATGACACATTTTGCTCAATCCTGAGCTCATATTGTTGACTGGTACACAACAGACACAGTAGTGGTTGGAACACTATTTATATAAGCTATTTATTACAACAATAATTGTTATGGTGTGACTGCCTTTTCCAAGGATATACTGTACATTTAGTAAGTTCTTAGGCTTACGTTGTGCTACATGTAGAACTCTGCTTACTACAGGGATGAGATTTGGCTGCCCTTTGGTGGTTTTGTGCCATTTTCTGTTGTCAAATTAGCCATTTACCAAGTTCATCAAATCCATTATCAAGTGAGGAAAGTGTTGGGTGTGTATGGGAGAAAATACTAGTACTTTAAGGCTCAGTCTGAGATTGCCTTGTTTACTTTGATGTCTATGCCAAAACTGAAATAGATGTATGAGGTCCTTTCTGTCTGGCTGATTGGTGGATAGCTGATCAATTGTAAAACATCTTTTGAAACCAAATGTATCCAAACACCTTGGAAATGCACAAACTCCTTAAAGTGCAATGGTGAATTATTGAAAAGGATAAGCTTAGAGGTAGGCTTTAAATTTTTGTGCCATCTGCCTTAATGGTGTGTACTTTTTGCCCATTTGTTTAAATTTACATAGAATAGACATTTTTCTTTCATTGGACATCATTTTTATGTACAAATTCATTTAGATGGTGCATAAATTTGTCAGAAATAGACATGATCCATTGAATATTGGGAGGCATATGGCAAAATTCTCAAAATTGTTTTCAGTAATTAAGAAATTTTTGTTACAGATAAAAAACATCTTACAAATGGATTGAATATCACAAATTCAGAATTGTTCTCAGTCTTATAAATTATATGTATTTCATAAATTATCATTTTGCATTTTATCCAGTCTTGTCACATATTACAGTACAGTCTTACAAGTCTTTCACAATTATTTAATTTTTACATTAAAAATCCTAAGATTTCAAGTTCTTGAAAAAGAAAATTGCATAAGAAGCTTTAAATTTTTTTTATTTTAGCACAAAGTACATTAATCTGTATTATCTGAGATAAGAATGACAGAGAAACTGATAACTTGTTGTAATGATATTTATATATTTGATGATATCCAGCAAGTCAAGTTTGTATCATGGCAGTCAAAAATAGGTGTGATAAGAAAAAAATTATCTGATACTGTTTAAGGAACTTTATTAATTTTATTTTTCTCAAGGAACATTCCCTACAATCCTCAGCTTACATGGCCTTTTCCTGGACATTCATATAAAATGGAAGAGCTTCCAGAAGTTATTAATGGTACCCCTCCAACTTTGACAAATAGTAGAGATGGTTCTTATCCTATAAATGGAAACAGTCCTCATTCCAATCACATGTTGGGTCCACTATCCCCTGTTTTTTCAAGCACTAGTCCTGTAGCTGTTCCTAATAATAAACGTGAAAGGTCTGAAAGTACATCGTCAGCTGGCTGTGGAAGGTAAGAGCAGCTGTAAATATTGACAGCAGTATTATAGACTTACATATTTTTTATTACTTCCAACACAATTTTTTTTATCAAGTATGAATAATGGAATAAGTATAGTTAAGCTACTGCTAAACATGATTTAACCCTTAGCAGCATATGTAATTAAATTATATTTATAACAAACACTATTATTTGACTTAGCCGATGTACCTGTTTAATGCTCAGGGAAAACATAAGGACCCCCAGAGAGTAACATGGGGGGGTAGTAGATCGAAACACTGACCACCCTGTCTCACTCCTTAGGGGGCTGTAAAGGTTCATGCCAAGTTTGGTTGAGATTGGTCAAAAACTGAAGATGTGAGAAAGGCATATACATTGATAGAATACCCCTTGGTAGTGACATGGGGACATCAGATTCAAACACCCCTTCCCCTCCATATCACTCCTCAAAGTGCCTCCAAAGTTTAGAAGAGATAATAATATATAACAAAGGGAATGCAAAGATGGTCTCTGGGGTTACATATGGGGATCTGGTCCAGATGCTGACCCTCCCATATGTCACTCCCAGCAAGGCCATAAGGGTGCACAGGTACATGCATGAAATGCAGATAGAGAGAGAGAGAAAATCTCACCCAAAGAATGACATGCAAGGTCAGACTCAATGTCTTGTGACACTCTCTTGTGGGTGGACACACAGACAAACAGTGGCTCCACTGGAATAGAATGAGGGGACTCAAAATTATGACCACCATGAAACTCCTTTGGGTGAATGCCAAGTATGGTTGAGATCAAACCAAAGGGTCAAAAACTATAAGGATGATAGAGTGGTCATACAGACAACACATCTGTTTTAAATATGTCTATTAGCTACATAGCAGATGTAATTTTCTTTTGGGGTGAATGTACTTAAATTTATAAAAAATTGTTGTGCTGCAGTATTTTTATGATGTAATGAATAAATTCTGGATATGAGCAAAAATATGCAGTCCCAGTGTTTTACTACTACAAAAACATGTTGAAATGAAGTTCATACTCCTTGATGAACAGGATCTGGGAACTTTGTCAGTGCTTCTTGAATGATTAAATAATGGAATGCTTTGAGTATGACTGAAGACTACAGACAAATGAATTTACATTTCTACACTTTAGAGTTGATTGACAGTTTAATTAAAAAATATATCTGTATTCTGGTCTTTTAGGTTCATGGGTATATATATATATATATTTTTTTTAAATGTGACTTTCTTGTAGAAGGCCTAGAGATGTCCTTCTTCAGGATAATAGTAAGACAACCATTTGTTTTAGTTAGGTTTTGAAGTATAGTTGTTGTATGTATGTGTAGCAAATGAAAAATTATAACAATTTTAGGCTCAGAGAGAACTTGATATTATTACTGGTATTGTTAAAAGGCAACCTTGTTTTGTAAAAGATCAGTTGTTTTCCAAACATAATATTTTGTAACAGTAAAAAAAAACATGTTAGAAATATAAAGCATTAGGCATTACTTATTAAATAACACCAAAACAAAAATGTCTGAGGAAATATCAGAAATTAAACTGTAGGATTTAGATAAACAGCATATTGTATATAAAGTAAAGCATTGTATATAACAGGGTTTTCTCAAACCTTTTGCACCTCAAGGCTCACTTAGTTGTATAGTACGACGGTAAATGTCTGTATATGCAGTTGATGACCCAATTAGTTTAGGACAATCACTCTGCCCACCAGTTGAAAATTGCTGGTATAGAATATAAATAGGTAATGAAAATTTTTTAGTTTGGAGTATTTTATGTTCAAGATAGGATGATATGACTCCTTTACTATTTTGTGTAGAGGTATTTATTCTAAGGAAAAAGATCATTTCAAGAATGGTTAGGAACACTTTGTGGCAATATTTGATAATCAATAAAGCTTTCTGGAGATTATTCCACATGTGTGAAATCATTATAAAGTATAAAAGATGTGGTATATATGTTTAATAGTGATTAATTTTAAGAAAGTGAATTCAAACACTCAGTTTTGTTGTGCCAAAAACTGCAAACATTTTCATACTTTTTAATATAATTTAAATCTAGGTGTTATGTAACTGTAGATATTTATTTTGCTATCAGTCTTCACATATTTAAGGCCAATATTCTTGTTTTTAGCTGGAACAAGTGTAGCACAGTGGTTAGCATTCTTGGACTTTGGAGCTGAAGTTCTGTGGTTTGCATTCTGTTACTGCCCCCAAAGAAATTGAGCTTTGCACACTTTGGGGCTTTGGATGCATTATAAGAGTGATAGCCAAATTTAGCTATTTGGTCTGACAAGATTAGCCCAAGAACTGGCATTAGGTGTGTTGATTAGCTGCTTTCCCTCTGATATTAGTTCAAAATTAAGGAAGGCTAGTGCAGATAGCCCACATTTAGTTTTGCATCAAATCCAACGAACAAAAAACTTTTTATCAGCCAAGAAATTTGGGAATATTACAGGTTGTCCTCACAAAACTGCATGACCATTTGTTTAATAAACATGTCATACCTCTTGTTTATAATTCTTTTAACTAATCATTAGGCTTAAGTTTATCAAATAATTGTACTTTTATTTTTTTATTGCTAAAATAATACTGGTGTATAACCTTTTTCTTTTAGGAATTAAAGTTAAATTTGTTTTATATCATTGTTTTTTCTGTATTTTAGCTGGCAGATAATATCAGGAACAGGAAGTATACGAGGCTCAGAGTCAACTAGGGGTTCAGTCAGTTCTCCAACTTGGGAGCTTAATAGAAACTCGTCAAGTAGTAAAGGAAGCTCGTAAGTAAACAAATGTACTATCAGTTCCATGTATTAAATTACAGCAATGAACTTGTAGAAACCTTTCATTTTCTGAAGTCACACAATTCTTAAGTTACCTTTTTTTACACTGTTTTTGTGATATTAAAAAAGAGGTATTGTTTCAAAATAAGGTATTTTCTATGAGCAAATAATTATCTGTTGATAATGAAACCAAATAAGTAATGGTCAAGTCTGTTGTATGAAAGATATCTTTAACTATTAAATCTATCCTAAACTTTTCTTGAGCAAGTAAAATTTTATAACTTCATTATTAAGTAATGCAGCAGTTGTAAATAAGCTTAAAAATGCCTATTCAAAATTTTATAATGACAACATTTTTTTCCTTGGGGAGTTAGAGGGCAGATATATTAAACATTCAATAAAATAATGATGATGCTTAAGCATGCCAATATCTTCATCTTTTAATTTTTTGTCCTGTAGCACATTTAAAGGACTATTTTCTTTTAATAAAACAAAATTACTGTTTTTCTTCATTACACTGTTCCTTTGTTCTTGCAAGTTAGAATCACAAGCTGTTAGGCTTTTTCTTTATAAATAATTAGAACAAATGCTAAAAGTTAATCAAATGAAACTAGCAATGTATTATTAGCTAATTTATTTTTGGAATTTTACACAAAGAAATTCAAAAGTAGGTCTAACAGAGAAATTTGAATTCATAGATAACATTTATATAGTTTTTGAAGATAAACAAAGAAATGCATGTCTTAATGTTAAAATAACTTAGAGATTAATTAAACATAAGTTGTACAAGAAGCTTTTATTTTTAATGTAGTTGTCAAGAGTTGCATGAAAATCCTGACAAATCTCCTTGCTCAACATGGTCGAAATCACAACTCCTAAAGAAACGCAGAGAAAACTTGAATGATGTTAGGTCCATTTTCTGCCGTACTTATGCAAATGGTATAGGATTTAACTGTCGAAATGGTACCGAAGCCAGTGGACTCTCTAACTTATTGGATCAGCTTGTAGGAAAAGTAGGAATACGATCTGGAAAAACATACAGTGTCTGATCTTAAATGCACTCTAATAAAGACGCTTGATAAAACATGACAGTGGAAATGATTGGAATCTTGAATTACTGGTACCTGATAGTTGGGGCGTGCCAATGAAGGTGCTAATTTGAAACCTTGTTCCTTTGCACGTGTTTTTGGTTTTGTGTGAACCTTCTCCAGTGATGCATATAGTATTTTCTAATTGTTGGTGATGGTTTTGAAAGTGCTCACATTAAAAAATGAACACCAGAAATGAATTTCATTTTGTGGTTTTCTAACAGAAAACTGTTGATAAATTCTTAAGTGACCATAATCCGTTTTTTTTTTAATGTGAAGGTCAATCTGATTAAAAAATATGCATTAGCTTTGGATTTTTTTGTTTGTAGATACAAAGTTGTGGCTACTTTCTGACCTATTTTGTGGTTAGGAATATATATATATTCATTAAATCATACAAAGAATGATGTTTTAAGTTGCATATTTTCATATTATGTTTGTGCAGTTGCATAATTTTGCCTTCGAGATTATCTAATGTTGGTCATTAGGTTTAAAGTTTGCAAAAATGTTTTAAATTGTTTATTCTAACAATTTTACATGTATAAACATTGTTAAAGAATTTATTTTTCATGATATATTTCTTCAGAGTCACATATACGTATGTGTCCTAGAGTTCATAGTTTCTGGGATTTCTCAATTAATGGGACAGGTTTTGTATTTAAATTTACCATGTATAAAAATCACATTGAAACAAGTAACATTCTGTCTAAAATTTGAGTCTGGAAATTTGTAGGAAGAGGTTGTTTTTTATTATATCTGGTCTGTTGAACACTGTCATGGGGAAATTAACTGTTATTGTGGAAGGAGAAATATTTAAAGTTGAAATGTCTGTTACAAAGTTATATGTTAACCTTAAGACTAATTTATAAAAGGTGATCAAACACTCAAATAGTATTCAACAAATAATGAGGCATAGAACATTTCCAATAAACAGGAAAAGAAAATGCTTATGTTTGAACTTGTCTTTTCTTTTTGCATTTGTTACATTTTTAGGTTACATAGCACCAAAATGTAAGGTATTGCAGAGTTGGATGTTTGACTGGTCAGAATAAAAATTGGATAATTTATGAGTCAGATAATCAATTTGAATAAAGTATTAGCTAATTTTTATGATCATGGAAATATTAGTGAGCATTAAAAACTGTATTTTTGAAAGCTTCTAGGCTTCTCAAATCTCAACCTGTTATTTAGAAATGAAATAAAAGTATGTGTTTGTGTATAATTTTTTAAATTATAACTAAATGTTCAATACCAAACATGGTAAAAATGTTGTCTATCTTATCTTCACATGTATTCTAATTTGTCTTCTAATTTTCAACAACTTGGAATCTTAGTTGTACAAATATCATCAGCAATCCGTTGGTCAAGCGTTTTCTTTTATCAGATAACGTTTCATCCATTAATCCAGCAATACCAACTAGATGTGTCCTTGTGGCACTAGAATTTCCCATCTGGAAAATTCTCAAACAACATAACTTGCACTGCAACACAATTCGAAAATAATTAATATTTGAACCAATAACCACAGAGTTCAGGAGAGATCTAACCAATCAAAATATCATTCTAACACACATCAATCAAAAATAATCAAGCATATTCATATTTAAACTCCATAACTCGCTCAACCCACGTGGAGTAATAGATCTTTCAGAAGTAACAATTTTATACTTCTAGTAATCATAGCTGAAACAGAAATACTGTGCACCTCTTTGATGACCAGGAACCCACTTTGAGACTAATAAAGTGTAGAGGGGCTTCAGTGGGTAACAAAAAACTTTATTAAAAGTTAAACAATAACAAATGTACAAAGTTTCGACAAGGTTTTGTCACCAGCAGATAAATTATTCAAACATTGTTAATTTGTTAATATGTTAAACTTGATTTTACTGAAAGTTTTCTTCAGGACGTATATACTTTACTGTTCTCTTGTAAAAATCCAATATAGAAAAATAATATTTGTATTATCGCTGTTTATAACCATGAAAACAATTTAAAGTCGTACTTTTCATGTAATCTATAAGACAGCATATTAACATAAATACGACCTAAGGTATGCAAATTATTTGTTGTGGTTAAACTTTGGAAGCAATTGTATAGCCACGAAGTTTAAACTTTCAAGCCAGGCTTAAGAATCCAACCCCCATTATCAAAATACGCTTGTTTATCAAGATTCAGGTACAGCAATTTTTACGAACTTCACAAGTTATCCGAAGCTACAAGTAAGTTGTATAAAGTTCGTAGTCATTGTAAGTACATCGTCTTAACTGGCATGGCTTGGAAGTTAAAACACTCGACTTACAATCTGCAAGTCGCGTGTTCGAGTCTAAACACTGAATATGATCGACCTTTCAACCGTGGACGCGTTATAATGTTACAGTCAATCCCACTTTTCATTGTTAAAGAGTAGCCCAAGAATTGGCGGTGGGTGGTGTTCACTAGCTATATTCCCTCTTGTCCATCATTTTAAAATTTGGAACAGCTAGTGTAGATAGCCCTCGGGTAGTTATGCGTGAAACTCAACAAACAAACATCCGTTTTTTTAGCACATGCTGTTTCAATACACACAACATGGTCGAGCTTGGTTCATTGTTTATCGTGCCGGGCTGTGGATCCAAGAATACGTGGTTCTCGCTCTGTTACCGACGGAAAGAAAATCGCGCCCAGCAATTTAGAGCTGTGAGTGCATTATAAGACTAACGATAAAATCCCACTATTAGACTAGAGTAGCCCACAAGTTGGCGGTGGGTGATATTGACTAGCTGCTTTCCCTATAGCTAGTACAGGTAACGCTCCAGTAGTTTGCGCGAAATTTAACAACAAACAATACACAGCAATTCAAGTCCTTTCAGTTTATCTTCGTTAACAGAAATTTTCACGTAGCTCTTTATCTTAGATATAATTCATTTAGAAATATGCGTCTTCCAACAGGTTTGTGTCTTAGCTTTACAAAAGCTTAGATGCCACATGAGTGAATACTCTCGAGATTCAGCATTTTTAATGTGGCCTCTGATTCTCTGGTAAATAATGATAACCCATGGAGTAATATTTTGGCCAAAAATGCGAAATTACTAAAGCACTCGATTCTGTAATGCGTGTAATAGCAATATTAATCACAAGGTTCAAGTTGTGCACAAACCCAAAGTTGGAACTGTATACTTAGCTCCTTATCATCATTTTTGTTTGTATAACTTAGTACACACTTCAATCATGGTAATAGCAGTCATATTGGAACACTGGACTAAATTTATCACCTTTCGAAATGACTCCAGTATTGAGAATATCAATCTCAAGTTCTCTTTCCTTGCATTTTGGTGTCTGTAGTCTGAGTTCTGTTACTACTACTAGTACTACACACACACACAAATGAATATAAATACGCACTTTGGGGGTCGTGGATACATTTTAAAAGTGACGGTCAAATCCAAATATTCGGTCTAATAAGAGTTGGCCATGGGTAGTGTTGACTACTTACTTTTCCTTCAAAATTATGGATGGCTAGCACAGACAGCTCTCGTGTAACTTTGTGCGAAATAAAACAAACATCAATCAGTTCGTTTTAATTTGTAGGATTTGGGTATTTCGATGGCCTGACGGTGAAGCACTCCAATAATGGGATCGAATTTGGCTAAAGCTACACCTGTGACAAAAAGTCACCATTGTTCACTTTATACTTTTTTCTCTCAATATCCTCTGAAAGCCAAAGCATTTCTAGCCAAAATATAGTATGGTTTTCATCAATCGTTGAAGAACTTTCTACTTGCTTTCACAGTCTCCAGTTCACTGTTCATGCTTACTTTTCTGGTAAAAGGGCATACATATGGCAGTATACGTATTGAAACACTCATGATCCTGTCGTCTGCATCAAGCCCTTTCAATCAAGCAACCCCTTGGATCCTTTACTTCTGTCTGTTAAAAGCCAATACGGTTCAAAATTTGGCGAATAACATAACCGTGTAGTTGACAGTATTAGTCCTGACTTGGTCATTGTAGTATTTTTTTGCGTTTGCGTCTCCAGCATAAACAGGGGCATTGCCTCTTTCATTCGCGTATCTATTATCAATTACAAGTTTATTTCATGTTTTTCAGTGTTGGGTTTTATTTTTTAGTTTCAACTTTATCATTGAAGCGCTCAGGTTAAGCAATTTTGTTCTTGAATTAATATTCATTTGTTCTTACTCTTCAGCACAAAAAATATATCAGTTAATTTTGAGAAGTAGGATTTAGTTGGATGGTATGCTAGTGAGTCAGTCACACCCTCGATGATCTACTAATTATGTCTCCACAGAAAGATATACTGTTTTTTCTTTCTTTCCTCTTCTTCCAAACATTTCATTTCTTCATTTCTTGGCGGATCGACTTGAAATTTGGTAGGGTTATACTTTAGTCCAATACACCAGACTCCTTTTTTTCATTTTTTTGGTTTAAGCCTTTTTTAAGGATTTTATTGGGTCAAACAACCAAAAAATGTATATAATGGGCTCCTGTGCGGTCATGTTTACAGCAATCAAGATGAAACTTGGCACAAATATAAATTTTCATGCGCCCAACATACTGATTTAAAAAATTCGATTTGCCCATTTTAAATCAGTTTTCAGGGGGGCCAGGACTTACAAAAAAGTATAATTTTTGGGATTTTAGTCAATTACTCGGCCATATTTTGACCAATGTACATGAGATTTGGTGAAAAGATACTTTTCTTCAGGTCCTATATATAAAAAAATGTGGTGTACGCTCATTTTTGGTCGTTTTAGGATGTCCAAAGGTCACAAAAAAGCATAATTTTAGAAGTTTAGGCCCATTTCTTGGCCATATTTCGACAAATTTACGTAGGATTTAGTACAAAGTTGCTTTTTGAAGGTCTGATGCGTCAAGTCGTGCCATATCACAAGACTAGCCACATATTTGAAACTTGGCCTTTATCTTATAAGTCTGCCAGGGGTGGAGCAATTTTCTCAAGTTTACTCAATATCAACAATAATCCAAAGAAATGCTCGTTGATACCATACCGCCTTCAGTATGAGATGTTTCAGTTGTTGTGACAGGCAATCATTGGCATCTGTTCTGTGTGGATTATTTATTAGCTACAGTCGAGCACAGATGGGTGATACTTGGTATTCCTATCAGAAATTAACACATCAGACTGGATTTTGTTGGAATGCTATTAAATTAGATCATTCCTTATAGGCAAGTTACTGTGTGTAATAACTAGTTTTGATTGTCCTTCCCTTGTAGTTCTCGGAAGGTCTAATGTCTGCAGCTGTACTGAACCCATTTCGACAAACAGCTGTTACACATTTGAGTCAATGTTTGGCCATTTAAATGGATCACCCAAGCCACTGTTTTTGCTTTTTCGGATTGCTTTTGTCATGAGAAACTATATGATTTCGTAAGTTTCTGACATAGCATGATAGGAAGTTGTGGCACTATTTTTTGTTGTTGTTTAATTTCGACAAGATTACTCGAGGGATATATGTGATAGCCGTCCCTAATCTTAAACTTATACACTAGAGGGAAGGTAGTTAGTAAGTACCGCCCACTGTCAAATCTTGGACCACTCTCTACCATCGAATTGTGGAGACGATCGTCACATTATGACTCGCCCCAGCGGCTGAAAGGTCGAGTATGTTCGGCGAAGGGTTTCGATCTTCCAACCCACAGACTGCGAGTGAATACTCCGACCACCATACCATGTCATACTCTACTTTGGATAATCGAACTCCGAATTTTAACGTTGTAAGTCCATCAATGTACCACTGACCAAAAAAGGAAACGTAAAAGGTACGGTTGTATCTTTCTGAATTATTCAATGTGATTATTGATCAATGTTTGTGGCATTGGTAGATGACTTTGTACAAACAGTTTAAGTTATAAGTTTAACGAATAAGTAATAATGAAGAAAAAAAATATTTCTTTGCGCACATTATAATTTATAGATTCGAGTGCGAA